ATCAAATTCTTCTACAAATTTACAAGTTAATTTTGAAATCAATAACTTCTATACTAACATACTTCTCACAAGGACTAATGAAATTTTCAAAAATGCAAAATCATGTAAAGCTTCTTCTGATAGGGCATTATGTCAAACACCTTTCATTCATTAGTTATTCAAGCTCAAGCCAAGCTTCTTTCTCTTTGATTCCATTTTCCACAATTCTCTAGTATAAATAATGAACATTCAGCTTCCTAAGTTCCTTCTCTTCATTGGATAAATCAATCTTAACTTAGGAAATTAAATCATCATCTTCCACACCTCACGTAGCAAAACTAAATCAGAATTTCAATTTAAAATTTAAAATTTTCTCTTCTCTAAAACAGCATGGGCAGTAGCAAACACACATTGGAATTCTATAGTTCCACACCACCTCATTTCCTTCTTTTTCTCTCTTCATTTCCTTCTCTTTATAGCCACAAAATTCCATTTAGATCAAACTTCTTCCTCTTTTACACCTATATATATTTGGTAACGTACAGCCACCAAGAAGGCAGATTTTTCAGCATTCAACTCCATTCTTTCACCCACTCACATGCATAATAAAACCAACAAATGAAAGAGTTCAAAACTCCTCACCTCAACTAGCTGACGGCGCATACACAGGGAAGAAGAAAAACGAAACTTACAGCTGAACAGGGGAAGAAGAAAACAGCAATAATTTAGCCTCTAACCCACGAGTCAGTCCTCCCACAGCACCAGACCAGCTCTTCCTTTGCTCCCCACCCACGAACGAAAAGAATAATGGAGGTAGAAGAAGATATGACAGCATCGACAGTGAAGGGAAAAAAAAAAAAAAAACAGAGACCAACGGTGAAGTGAAGGACCAAGGACTCACAACGTTGTAGCTAGCAGTGGAGAATTACGGCATTCCCACCACCGGCGACTGCCGAAAATGAGAAGGAAGAGACAAAGATGCAGATGAGATAGAGTTCAACCACATACCCAAGTTCCAGAATTTTCTCCCTTTACTCTGCACCACCGAAACTGAAATAAGGGAGAAGGGAGAGAAAACAAATCTGACAAGGGAGGGTATTTTGGTGATTTCACATGTAACGATCCAAAGTTTTAAATATAAATTTAAAATTTATAATAAAGTATTTGAAATATATTTTATAAATTTTAATAATTTTAGGTAAAATATAACAAGAAAGATGTGGTGGTTTAATGAAAATTCTTTTGATGTCTACTCGGATTTAAATTCTTAAGGAAAAATGGGTGTATTACATAATAATAATAATAATAATAATAATAATAATAATAATATAAAATTTATGTTAAGGTATGTTAATTATATTTTTATATATTTAGACGTTAATTTTTCAAAGTAAATTGATGGCATGGTGGTAAGCATCATTTGGTTTAGGTTTAAGGTTTCGTGTTCGGCTCTTCTTATGCTGAATGGGATTATATATATATATATATATATATTTGCATTTTTTTAGACTTAGGTGTAATTACCTTTTTGTCATTGGCTTCATCAGAATTTTTTTTTTTAGCTTCCTTCTTCTCGGTTATATTTGGGCACTTTTGGCTTTATTGGAGACAACAACAGCCTGTCCACAACCTTTACCCTCGTGCTCCAGCTTCCAGAATTTTTCCCGTTCGTGCTTGGCCCCATCGCCGGAGCGGAGCTATGCCGTTCCTGTCCACCAAACTTATAATCTGTTCTTTTTTTTTTTTTTTTTGCTGGAAATTACTGATCGAGATCTTCCTCTTCCTCTGTCCATGTGATCTTGCAAGGGTTTTAAGCTTTCCTCTCCCTTCAGCTTCGTCTCTCCTCGTCTGCTGCCAGTAAATGGAGGAAAACACCGAAGTCCTCCTCCTTTGACGGTGATGGGGTGTACGTGTGTCGATCTTCTCTCTCCCATGTTCTTCAACGTGAGCTTCCTCCCTCTGTTCGAGCTGCTTCAGGTTCTTCCTCCTCGTTTTCTGTCTTTATTTCTCTTCATTTTATTGGACTGGTTGGGTGTGGCAATTTTGAACCCTCCTTCTAGTACGACATATGTGCGTGGGTCTTAGGGGTATGAAATTTCTAAATTCTTTCTTCCTAGTTCTGCTGCTCTCTGTGACTGTGAGGACGTGAGGATTCAGTTAAGCTAAAATTCATGTTTTAAGAGCGCATCTTTAGCATGTGGTTTCACTCGAAAATTTTGACCATTATAAGAGGAAGAGGAGTTGATTCTTCTTCAAGCCTGAATTGGTATTTCTTTGAGACTGAGGTTGATTTTATTCTAGGAACAGAACTTTGGAAGTTAAATAATTTTAATAATTATATTGGAGAATTTTTGGAAAGAAAATTGAAGAGAAAGGAGTTTGGGTTAATAGTTGGGTATGAAAAGTATTGGAACGATTGATTGATTAAATTATGATGATTTGGAGCCTAACTGATTATTATGTTACCAATTTTGGAGGATAATTTATTTAAGTGGAGCAAGGCCATTAAATCATCCTTGTATATTGGATAGTGTTTAAGGGGAAAAGGAGTTGGTTGAAGTTGGAATAAGTGAATTGCTAATCTTGAGAATCCTACAAGTAAGTGGATAGCGTCCCAACAAATTTATCAATTAATTTTTCTTACTAAAATTTATTTTGTTACATTGATTATTTTTAATAATAATTATGTTGATTAATGGATACTTTGTTAATTAAATTTCTTCATTTTTTTAAGTTTTAAGATAGTGGTGAAAAACAATTCTTCGTAACATATGAATGTTTTACCCTTATGAAATATCCTTTCAGGATTGATAAAATTCTTTTTCACTAGCATTGACAATTTTTAATCATTCAATAAATGTAAGCATGAGCAATGGATATGGAATTTTATTCTGGCAAGTTTTAATGCTTAAAACTATTCATGGGAGTTGGATTTTGAGAATGAGAACTGTATCTTAAAAGTGATGATTTTCTCGCATGTTTGAAAATGGTTTTTAAAGGAGATTTTATACAGAACACTAGTTACTAACGGCAGTTTCATTAGCCCTCGACGCGCCATGGTCAATGATTGGCTAGTTTGATTTTTAAGAGCTTTATTCTCACGTTTGTTATTCATGGGCTTTGTTTCCGCATTTGATTTCGTGGCCTTGATCCATGTTTGGTTAGCTTTATCCTCATGGACTGTGTGCCCACGTTTGTTTTCGTAGCTTCAAGTCACATTTGGTTAACATTATCCTTGTAGACTGTGTGTCCACGTTTGTTTTGTAGCTCAAGTTACGTTTGGTTACTTACCTTCGTGAATTATGTGTCCATGTTTGTCTTCATGGCATAAGCTACGTTTGATTATTTACCCTCGTGGACTATGTGTCCACGTTTGTGAATTGTTCTGATAAATCTCCAAAAATGTGAATTTTTAATTAATTAATGATTTCACACTTTAATGGTTTTTAATTAGCAAATGTCATTATTTTTATTTATGTATTTATTTAATTATTTTAATTTATCAAGATCAAATGTTAAAGTTGTTTCGTTGCTATAAATTTAAAGTTTCATGATATTGGAACTGTATAGAACTTTTACTTGAGCTTCCAAATTCATTTATATTGAATTATTTTCTCTTTAATTTGTGTAACTATTATATCTTATTCACTTCAATTTTATAAAAAAAAAGTATTATGATTGAGACATTATTCACTGAAAATTATTATTTTGGTCTCATACATTATTCCCAAACATAAATAAAATATGTTCTAAACAAATTACTATATATTTTCTATTACTAATTATTTATTTATTTTTTCAGATTTATTACAAATATAAATTATTGTTAATTAATTTACATTTCTCAAAAAAAGATCATTAAAATCTTGATCTTTTTTAAAATTTTCATATTTTTTAATCGTGCTCTTGGGTGTAATAAATATAACATTTGATTTATTTAAAACACTTCTATTATTTATTCAATAAAGTAAGGGTGTAATTGAACCAACCAAAGCTTCTAAAATAACGCTATATATATAATACCTACTCAACACCAAGCAAAGCTTCTAAAAAACAATTATCTTATATTATAGTCCAGAGAAAATACATTCTTTTGTAAAATAATGCTATATATATATATATATATATATTATGTGTGATTTTATTTAAAAAAAGTAGTCATCCACACAAGATTTTGTTAAGAAAGTATGGTCCGATGCATACAATACATATCCATATTTAATAATTAATTAGTTATCATGACTAAAATGGTCTCTTACACTAAACGTTGACTAAAGTTTACATTTGGTCATTTGGTCCTCTAACTTTGTATAGGATTTTAGTTTAATCTCTTAATTTTACAAAGTATTTTTTCAATCCTCTAACGCTAACATCATTAGTTTCAAATAATAATTTTTTATATTAATCATTGTCATTTTAAAAAATTAAATATAAAATGTCAATGTTTAAGAATATTTTGCCAACACTTAAAAATTCAATATAGGAACTTATTGTTCATGAAATTAATGATATTAGAGATTAAAGAATTGAAAAGACATGAGTGCGCAAAAAAAAAAAAAACTAAGACACTATAAATTTAAATAATCAAAATGAAACTTTGTGTAAAGTTAAAGAACTAAATGTGTAATTTAGTCCTAAACATATTATATAAAGTTTGATTAGCCATACTATTCATGACTTATGAATAATATAAATTTTATAGATTTTTTTTATTTGATATTATTGCAGTGATTAACATGAATATAAATTAAGTATTGGTTCTAAATAACAATCTTCTGCTTTAGGTAACAAATTATATTAATAATTTATTAATGAAGGATACATTATGATATATCCAAAAACCCTCACAAAATAGCAACGCAACAAAACCAGACACAATAGAAGACGAGATAAACAGAAGCACACAAGGAGATCAAGTAGCACACAACAATAAACTAATCAAGGTACATAAATAATAATCACACAGACAAATTTATTTATCACGTATAGCCAGCCATTCTTCTTCTTCTTCTTCTTCTTCTTCATGCATGGTGCACATTTGCTTGATCATGGTGATCGTGACTAGTAGTATGGCAGCACTTGTACTTGACAACATCAATCACCATATTCAGATGACAAGATAGCTCAGAGCAAGCCATGGAAATTGGAATCCTTGAGTTAACATTGCTCAGCTCAATCTCATAGCAAGGAGAAACCGCTGATTCCACTTTATTAGTTTTGTAGTAATCTGCAAACTCATGTTTCTGGCCACTCACTTTCCACTCTTTGAATTTTGCTAGGGCGTCAATCATCACAGTGTAATAGCCTGTTATTAGAGATAAATAAGTCAAACAAGACCCACATAAAAAAATTAAAAGATATATTAGAAATATATAAAACTTGGGATGTGTTTAATCAAATAATGGTTTAAGCTATTTTGGCTAGGTAGATTCAAGCATATTTAAAATTCATCTATTTAAAGCTCTTTATTTCAAGATTTTAGATTTAAAATCTTATATTCCAAATCTCAAATTTAAAATCCATGTGTTTAAAGATCTTTATTGTAGTTTAAAAAATTCAAATAAAGAAAAGAGAAGAGCTGAGATTCAAAACGAAAATAGAAATTTGAGAGTGATGGATTTACTTCTATTTTTTAACTAATGAGAGATGAGAACAACAAATGAGAAAAGATAAGAGTCATGAAAGCCTGAATAATGGAAACATGAGAAAAATAAGATGTTTGAAATGACTGAAATGTCAATTGATTAGGGTGTAGAGAAAATTTAAAATTACAAATCAACTATAATAAGAAATGGATTTGGATTTGATTAATTTTTGTGTACCTAAATAAGAAATTTGGTCTGAATCCAAATTCTTATTAATCCAAACACACCATAAAAGAATTTAATACCTGTGATTATAACATTCTCGCCTTGGCTTAGAATGGTCCATCCTTTAGGGTCTTGAAGGACAGTACAGTTTGAAATTCTCCAAGAACACTGTCATTGTCGTAGTTCTCCTTCTGAACTCTGCTCACGAACAAGAGGCTGATGCTCTTCCAAAACTTTGATATTTCATTCTCACCAGCCTTTTGCGGGTTGAAATCTTTAACAACAATGGAAGCTTTTTTTATGTCATTTATCAGTGAATCAAACTTTTGGATCATAATAGCGTCTGTCCCTCCATAGATGATGATGTAACTGTTGTTCCCGTCAACCAGCTGGTGGGTGATATATAAAATATATAGAATTGGTTAGCTAGTAGGGAAAGTCATGAAATTAAAAATTAGATTTTGATGATTATATAAAGGTTGCATACATATAAATAGATAGATATACCAATAGATGTTGGTCACAATGGAACGGTTACGATTGTCTGAGTTTGTGTAAATGCAAAAAAAGAAATGCATTTGGGAAAGCTATTCTCAATTCGGTTTGACAATACTTGAATATGACCTAATTAAATAATCATATAGGGATAAAATACACAAGTCCTCTCTAGATGCAAGAAAATTCAAGTGGAGTTCACAAATCCTTCTCTCTCTACCTAGACAGAGATTAATTCAGGTCCTTGTATGGTGTATGGATTGGATGGTGAAAAGAAAGATATTATCACTAGGAAACTGGAGGGAAAACAGACGGATATTGAGGAGTGGAGGGCACCACATCTTATATCAAGGACTAGAGTGAGTATGTTAAGACAGGAGAGTGACCAACTAGAAATGAGGTAAGAGAAGCATAAATGGGCAAGAGTAGTGAAAAAACGCTACATTTTAACTCAAAATCTCAAAGCTTTCAAATTTAGATTCTTCTACTTTATTATATACTATAATTAATTAAGTCATGCTAAATTGTTTGAGCATGAGTGGACCTGAGTCGATATGCGAAGTCTCACATTTGATAAAGTTAGGCTTAAATAATTAGTACATACTCCTTTGGTTCTATTTATAAGTCACTTTTAATATGTTTCTTCAGTATTAAGGAAAACATTAAAACTCTTTAAATATATCTTAAAATTTAATAAGTTCTTAACTTTTTTCCTATTAAATATATATACTTTAATAACATATTTTCTCTCTATAACAATCAATGGAGAGTAAAAGAGAAATTTTGTGATGAAAATTTAATGACGTGACTTATAAATAGGACAAAAAAAAATCTTCTCTATCTGCCCTATAAATAGGACCAGAGGGAGTAATAAAGTAGAAGGACCCATAAATTTGAACTAAGCCTAGAGGTGTATTAAATTAAGATGTGGTATCATTCTGCTACTTATTAAAACCAAATTTATTTGATATTGAAGTTCGCACATCAACTCATGTCTACCCCTACTGGGACATATTTTGCATAAAGACTTGTATCTCACATTTGATTTTGTAACCTGCTTGGAAGCTGTGGTTATAGGGTTCCAAAACCACTTCCAGTTCTGGAAAAGCTTGTCTTCTTTCTCAATTTCAAATGGAAAAGCTTCAATCTTCCATGTGGATATCATGTATAGTGCATTCATGTGGATTACTTCACCTCTTGGGTTGACCACTATCACCATAGGCTTTCCCATGCAATGCCACTCAGTTTCTATCAGCTTTTGACCTTTTATCTCAAACAGATCTTGCAGCACGTACCACGCCATCTTTAATCTTCTTTTATTGAACTCCTTCTTCTCTGCTTTATCGTACTTGTTTCCCATTAGAATCCACAGAATTTGATAGATCTCTTTTTAATTCACCATGGATTGAAGTCAAAACTGGGATCCATTCTTCGATGTTGTAAAGGCCATAAATGAACAGCAAGAGGTTTTTTGTCTTTAGCTCATCCTCACCAACCCATTTGGCCTGTAAAATGATCAATTCAGGATTTCAATTATTATAATATTCAAATTAATATTCAAGTATTATAATCTATTTATAAGTTACTTTTGGCATGTTTTATTGAAATCATGAAAAATCTTAAAAATTATTAAATAATCTGTTTAAAATTTTAATATATTTTTAACTTTGCTCCTATTAAATTACATACTTTAGTAACATACTTCCTCTGATTCTAAATATATGAAAAAATTTTCATATGGTTTCCTTTTAAAAAAACAAAAAAAAACAATGTTCAAGAAGCATTATTTATGGCATATTTTTTAGTTACCGTTCATTAAATGATAATATCATTAATTTGAAAAAAAAAAGAATGATTAATCACAAGGGCATTTTAGTCCAAACTTTTAAATTTTATACAAAATTATTAGGATTACATAACTTTCTTACACTGTGTGAGTTAGTTAAAATTTGCTTAATTATAATTAAAAATAGGGGGAATATTTTCTCTTACTAGCTATTAGTGGAGGTAATAAAAGTAAAAATTTGTAATAAAAATTGGGAAAATGACAATCAAGTCCCAAAAGTCTAATTTTATACCAGTTAAGTCTCAATTAATTCTAAAAGGCCAATGAAGTCCCAGAGTCCTTAAGTGGTATTTTGGTGTCACGGAAAAGACTAAAACACCCTTCTTCTCAAGTAATTGTTAAATGCTCGTTTTCTTCTCTACCGGAACGAGATCCTATGTAGGACGAGCTCTCATCTCTGCTCGGTTTCTTCTCTGCCTTGCTAATGAGTTCCTATGTGTGCAACGAGCTCTCTTCTTTGCCCTAACGACGAGCTCTCTTCTGATCTTCTTTGCCTTACCGAGGAGCTATTTCAATTGATTGATCAGAGGAAAGCTTCTTTGCCCTAGCATGAGCTCTTTCGATTGATTGACCATAGGAAAGCTTCTCTTCCTTAATGTAAGCTGTTTTGATTGATTTGTCGGTACATTGCTTCTCATCTGTGTCTATTCTCATCTTGTCATCTTTGTATATTACTCCTCATCTCTTCTTTGTTTTCTCTTTACCCTTTTTTGAAAGTCAGTATGTCATTCGTGTGCTTCTGTCTTCTTGCATAAGTTATGGTTTTCCATTAATTTCACATAACCTTTGCATCAATTACTGTTTATGTTTTGTCTGACTGTCCTTAAGCTGCCTGCATACTCTAGCTTTAGACATGAGTTCTCTAAGTTGGAAGAAGTATATATGAATCTTTCAACAGCAAAATTTTTAGTTTCTGTGTTTTCTATATTGGAATTGAGCTTGGGGATATTTGAGTTAGCTGATGGACTTTGGTTCTATATCATATTCAAGAGCCAATCACAGTTAAATGCAAAAAACAAAGTTACAGAAGCAAGCTACAGGATGCAGGGATCTTGTAAAGGGTTCTATCCCATGATAAAGCAGTAGGTTAGCAACTTTTACATGTGTGAAATTGCAAAAAAGAATGACAGGGGAACCATTTAATATGATGATGGGTACATGTACAGCCTTCTACTTTATCTAACCATAAATATTAGTACTTCGTATCCCTTTCATGCACATTTCAAGCAGGCTTAAAATTGCCATTAGTCCTATTGTTACTTTTGTCTATCATTAGCAGAAACTAAGGCTAGTAACGTATTTACTTGCTGAGACCATAAGTTATTGCTTATTTTATGTAGTTTCTGGTTGACAATTAGTTTTGTGGATACACAAATTAGAGATAAATTAAGTGTTTGACATATGTTTTACATGAAATTTGACTGCAAATGCTTATCAAATTAGAAGAAGTTGAATATGATTTTAGGTGTTGTTTGGTATGTGCATTCTTTACATTTGTATTAGGATGATATTTGTAATGATGTGGCTTGGGACTGTAATCACTGCGTATACATGTCCTTTACGTTTAGCTTATCTATAATCACAGTGGCCTGATGTTTTTGAAAATGACCACTATTAGCCCCTTTCTCCTCTCTCATATTTGCCAAAGTTTTAATTAATCCATTAAAAGCTGCTACCCTACATGTTCACTATTCCATGTCAGTGTATATGTATGTGGTGTGTTTTTGGGTGTAACATTTGGCTGAATCTGTTTCATTTGCTTTTGTTGCAGACCAGAAAAAAGTAATTTGCAACTGAGACACCAAGAAATTATGAACAACAAGAAAGCTACAACAAAAAAGAAGTTTGGATACGACAACTTCAAAAAAGAGTTTCTAAAAAAAATGAAGGAAAATTTAGTGGTCTTATATAAGCCAATGATTCAATGTGAGTGGCAAAAATTATCTATATAATGTGTATTTCCTGCCAATTGAAACAGCTAGACTGTTACTTATATTACTTTAATCATATGGTGATCCAATTTAATGTAACAAATGAATCATGGAATTTTCTAATTTCATTATTATTTTAGGACAAGTGAAGTGATATAAAACACTCTTTGTGACTATCAAGCAAGCTGAACAAGCAACTAAATCAATTATATATAGCCAATGTCGCAACTGTTTGTCAAAATTTTAGGTGGGGTAACTACTGAATTTCTTAAAAAAGTTATTTTTCTAGGACAAAGCTCCAGTAATTTGTAACTGAGACACCAAATTTTGCAACTAATACTCAAAATTTTGGATCGAAGAACTATTAAATTCCTACAAGAGTTAAATCTTTTACGACATGGCTCCAGTAATTTGCAACTGAGACACTAAATTTTAGAACTTCTTTGAGAATAATTTATAACTTATACACAAAATTTTGGATCGAAGAACTATTAAATTCTTACAAGAGTTATTCTTTTAGGATAACATTTTAGTATTTTGCAATTGAGACACTAAATTTTGCAAGTTCCTTAGGAATAGTTTGCAACTAGTACTTGAAATTTTGGATCGAAGAACTATTAAATTCATAAAAAAGTTAAATATTTTAGGACAATGTTTCAGTAATTTACAACTGAGATACCAAATTCTGCAACTTTCTTAGGAACAATTTGCATTTGGTAGTCGATATGTTGGATCGAAGAACTATTAAATTCTTACAAGAGTTATTCTTTTAGGACAATATTCCATTAATTTGCAACTGAAACACCCAATTTTGTAACTTTCTTAGGAATAATTTGCAACTAGTACTTGAAATTTTGAATCAAAAAACTATTAAATTCGTAAAAAAGTTAAATTTTTTAGGACAACATTTCAGTAATTTACAACTAAGACACCAAATTTTGCAACTTCCTTAAGAAGCATTTGCAGCTGGTACTCGATATTTTGGATCGAGTAACTATTAAATTCTTTCAAGAGTTATTATTTTAGGACAATGTTCCAGTAATTTGCAATTGAGACACCAAGTTTTGCAACTTCCTTAGGAACAATTTGCAACTGGTATTTGAAACTTTGAATCAAAGAACTATTAGATTCTTACATGAGTTATTCTTTTAGGACAATGTTCCAGTATTTTGCAACTGAGACACCAAATTTTGCAATTGCATTAGGAATAATTTGCAACTTGTACATGAAATTTTGGATCAAAGAACTATTTGATTCTTGAACTTACAAACTTACCAAATTAAAATGTAATAATATATCACTTAGAAACAAGTTACTTTTGACATAAGTGATTTTTGCATCAGTGAGACAGTGAGAACGTTTCATCTTAAAATATGGATACTCGATGATAAATTCTTACACTTTCAGTTGCAAAATGTCGAATCTTCATGTCAAATTTTTAGAGACGTGAAATAAAAAAAAATGTTTCATGTTCAGTTGCAAAAAAGCGTTCCATCTTCTTCCTTACGAGAGTCGTTTTGCAAGAAATCTGACTTTAATGGAGTCAACTTTTTTGTTCAGATGCAGGGATTTGCAAAAAAAAAAAAGACATGTCTAAACACACCAGCCAAACAAACTCAGCAGAGAATAAAGCTTCCTTGAGTCAATAATTATAGGGGCATTTTCATCTTTTTTATCAAAACTCTGATTTGTGAAAAACAGTATGGGACTTTATTGGCCTTTTAAAATTACTTGGGACTTAACTGGTATAAAATTGATCTTTTGGGACTTGATTGTCATTTTCCCATAAAAATTTAATGATATGACTAATAAATAACACGGAACATATTATTCTTCTTTTCATTAAGTATGTATGAATATTTTGAACATTATATATTGACCTGTGTTTCAGAAGTATATTCAAATATTTCAAGCTGTTGAACTTGAGTGTCCTCATAGAAGATCAGAGCCTTCAAGAGCTGCAAAGTTCCACAAGGAGAGTGAATCACATCCAATCACCAAGTCAGATCTTTTGTTGAATCTGCAATATAATTTTCAATAAATCCTACGAACAGAGTTCAAGGGCAAAGAAAAACAAAACAAATTCAAAACTTTGAAAACTTATAAACAATAACGTCCTGTCACCTATTTCTTCTCTGATCTTAGTCAAATCTCCACTTGCCCAGGTGACAACAAACTTAAGCTTCTTGAAAACTTTCGATCTCATGTCCCAATCCTTGAATTAAAGCAATTCCAATGACATGTTTGAGATTCTCAAAACTTGGTTTAGATCAAATTTCTCATAAGTGATGATGTTAGGATAACAATAGCCTGAACATAGGGAGGGGAAAGCAAATAGACAAGAGTATGTTGGGATGTCAAGTGTGAGTTTACCTCGTTTGGTATAGGAAAAAAATTTCACATCAAATAAAGTTGAGTTAAAAAAGAAGTACATAAGTTGATAAGACATATAAACTTTCTGTAATTTTATGTTAAAATATGATATCATATTTATTTATATGTGTTTGCATTTAACCAAATGGCTTA